TCTTTGTTAAACCGAAATTGGGGAAAAAATAACAGGGGAGCTAATAGCTCAGGGGGACTAATAATAACTCTGCGTAATTCTGAAGTTAACTGTATAAAATAGTTTGTGGATAAGTTGTGGATACACTCATGAAATTATTTGTTGTCAGTCAGTCGTGTATGCTTACAAAAATTGGCCTTTAATCCCAGCACCAAGGCAACAACAAGTAAGCAGCAGTTCTTACGTACTAGTGATTTATGTACAGTGTTTGGCAAATTGTTTCTAAATAGCTTAGAAGTAAAATAGTGGATTTTTTTTCTAATATCATCTACTTAGTTTCATTTTACTTAAGCCAACTGAAAAGAAACAGTGATGGAAAAGGTGTTAAATGTTAAACATGTTTCTTTAGTTTGTTAATATTCTATTGATGAGGGCCACACATTTAATGTAAAGGATTTTATTACTTGGTGTATTAAAAGTTCAGCAACTTGGTTTCATTGTTCTAAACACATTTGTCAATGACAATCCCACCCCCCTCAGAAATTGTTCATCAACTGTCATTACAATATGAGACATGGATACACCGTTCATGCGCCATGATGATTTCTTTTTGCCAGACATTTTGGTTAACATTAAAACAAATTAAAATCACTTCAGCTGAAATTGTTGACTATCATTCTTAATTTGAATTGATTTTAATTGTCAATTTCAAAATCTTTGGCTGTAGAAGCAACACTGTCAGGTGGTGTAACTGTTTTTTGTCAATTAGTGTAACCAGTATTTTACATAAAAATATAATTATGTACATGGAAATAATGTGAAATTAAAATTAAAACACCCAGTTTAGTGTATTAAAATCATTAAAATGTACATTTAGAGATAATGCGAATAAAATCCCAGATAGCAAAATACACTCAGGCCAGTTCCGGCTAGATTGTCGCCTGCCGAAGACTTACCCCTCGGCCCAACTCCGGCTGCCGGACTCGGGCCGGATGCCTGTGGACTCACTGCCCGATTCCGGCCCGAATCAAGCGGGCCAGATGCGGCGGCCGTAAGCGAGCCGACGCTGCGCATCCGCGCCGGAATCGGCGCGAGGGTAATGTGCGCTGCGGCCCGGAGCTGGCGCGACTCCGTATTTATACACCTTATAAAACCTTTTGGTATTACATTGGTACTTAATATATGGTATTACAACCATTTGAATTTATACAACAGCAAACACAGGCTATAATGTAAACACAAAGTGTAAGCACTGTGTTTAACCTTTGAATAAAGTGCAAACTGCATACACATTCTGTAACGAAAATAATCAGACAAATGACAAAATAAATAAATGTTAAACGTTTATTAATTGCAAGAAAAAAATAGTACTAAAATTTTATAAATAATTTTGTAGTGCACAAGAATATCAATATAAAAACAACAATAAAACAACACATTAAAGACACAGAAAGATTTAAACAAAAAATCTAAAAATTACACACAAACACAGATGTTTTTAAAACAACCCTGTTTTCCCAATAGACTTGAATTAAAAATTTGTACAAACAGCTAAATTTTATATAAACCTTAATATAGAAACCAATTTAAGATATAGCAAGAAACATCTTAAAAATACCAATGACAATCCGTAAAATATCCAAGTCAAACTTGTAAAAAGTACTGCAGAATTCTGAAGAAACATCTTGAAACATTTTTTAATAAAACATTAAAATAATTTTAAACAAACAAATATATATATATATATATATATATATATATATATATATATATATATATATATATATATATATATATATATATATATATATATATATAATTGCAGAAGTATAAAGTCAAACTTATTTTTAAATAAACTTGAACAAAATCAATTGCACAAACAGCAAGACATGAGTGAGATGATTATACATTTCATATATATACACGTCTTGTGCAATTTTATATTTATAATTTTATTTGTATTACGTTTATTAAAAATGTATCAAGATGTTTCTTCAGAATTTGGCGCACACACATACATACATACCTACATACCATACATATATACACACACACACATACACACATATATATACATATACATATATATATATATATATATATATATATATATATATATATATATATATATATATATATATATATATATAAATAAATGCAAATGAAAGAAACAAATTGTTCAAGTATCAGGGAACATCCTAATACACTTAAAATGTTGTTTAAAAAATAAAACAAAATAGTGATGTAGACATTTGACACATTAGCTTTCTCTTCTTTCTTCCTCCATCCCTGTCACGGGCAAGTTGTAGCTACCTTGTAATGCATTTTTCCACTTCTTTATCAGTGGTGTGGTATGGACATTTGTCCTCACTCCATCTGTGATTAAAAGATAAACAGATAATTAGTAGTGAACAAGTACTAATGTAAAAAAAAAGAAAAAATTAGGAAAAAAGTAGGCTACCTACGAAGCAAAAAAAACAATAAAAAAAAACAAATAAACTTAAAACACTTTGAAATTAGCAAGAGCTTGAACTTACCAGTTTCTTCATTTGTTCAGGCTGCTCCTTTAGTTGATTTTCAAGCTTTTCCAAATCAAATTGACCAAAGGAAGGTCAAATGTGTTTACATCTGGAATTTCATCACGTCTGTTTTGGTTTTGTGAGAATCAGGCCCAGCTGCTGCTTTATGACGTTGCATGATTTTAAAACTTCAGTCAGTCGTGCTAAAAAAGAAAAATAACAGATTAGTATAAATCAACCTGTAGCTTATTCTCATACAACTTCTGTAAATACAACAGTGGGTTAGACACTGCTGATATTCTCTAGTTGATCTTTATTTTCTAGCTGCATTAAACCTTAACAAATTTAGTGATGTCTTCAATTCTTACAAAGACATCACGAGATGCAATAAGTTATGTCTTTATCTCAAACTGCACTAGAACAAAGACTGTAAATGTTCATAGGTGTAGTGCAGGAGTGTCCAAACATTTTGGGCCGAGGGCCAGATGCAAAAAAACAAACGTCGCGGGCCAAATTTTACATACATCACACAGACACACACACACACACACACACACACATATATACATATATATATATATATATATATATATATATATATATATATATATATATATATATATATATATATATATATATAAATGCAGTTGAAGTCAGAATTGTTAGCCCCCCTAAATTATTAGCCACCGTTTATTTTTTCCCCAATTTCTGTTTAACAGAGAGTTAAACATTTTTTTCCACACATTTCTAAACATATTAGTTTTAGTAACTCATTTCTAATAACTGATTTATTTTATCTTTGCCATGATGACAGTAAATAATATTTGACTAGATATTTTTAAGACACTTCTATACAGCTTAAAGTGACATTTAAAGGCTTAACTAGGTTAATCAAGTTAACTAGTCAAGGTAATTAGGCAAGTTATTTTATAACAATGGTTTGTTCTGAAGACTTAAGGGGCTAATAATTTTTACCTTAAAATGGTTCATAAAAAAATTTAAACCGCTTTTTATTCTAGCCGAAATAAAACAAGTCTTTCTCCAACATCATTTGGGAAATATTTAAAAAAGAAGAAATACATCAATGAGGGGCTAATAATTCAGACTTCAACTGTGTGTAGACAGACAGACAGACAGACAGACAGACAGACAGATAGACAGATAGATAGATATAGATAGATAGATAGATCATAACAAGAACTGCTGCTTAATTGAATGCATGTAATAGCGAAACCCGGTGGTTATTTATTGAATTACGTTCATTTTTGTATAGCGGGCCAGATTCTATTGATATTTATAAAAAGCCTCGCGGGCTGCAGATGGCCCGCGGGCCGTAGTTTGGACACGCCTGGTGTACTGGAATGTACAGTATCTGTGCATCTTCATGGTGGTCTTAAGATTTCTGCCATAGTCATTGATGGTGATGGTACTTGTGGTGCTGCATTGATTTCTGAAATCTTCATACCTGCCTTTTATCCAGCCTCTTTGTTCCAAGTAATTTTTCTTCATCATGGTATAGATGTGTCCATACTGTCCCTTAATCAGATACATTTACAAAACAAAACATCACTTTAGTATAGTGCCAGGTTAAAACTCACAGGTTGTAATAGATCAATGACATAATGTTGACAGTATGTGTTTAAAATAATTGCAAACAAACCTGTTCTGTCTTGAGATGTATGACAGGCAATCATCGTCCTCATCTGTCTACCAGTCAGAAATCACAGTTGCATGTGGATGTTTTAGTCGAGCTTCCTCATATGCATCTATAATAAAACATCACATTGTTAACCTCCAGTAAAGAAAAGTTAAAATCCTGAAATACTATCAAAGTTAATTAATGCATATAATACCTATATAGTGTAAATAATCAGTACACAGAAGGTTGCACAAGATTTATTCGGAGATTCATGCAGAGTGACAGCCTTATGAATCTGAGACATAGATTTGTAAGATGGCCAAGCACATGCATTATTCTGTACCCATGAAGATTAACCTACCATTGTGAAAAATGTTTGATGATGATAGCCAATAACAATAAACCATTTCAGCTGTTTGTGAAGCAATTAGTAATGTAATGTCTGAAAAGCTCAATCTATGTTGAAAATGTATCAGCAGTTTACAGCTTATAATGGACTTTTAGCACACAACTATAGCATGCCTATTCACGTTCAAAAGAGTGTGCCATTGACTTCTTTGGTCGTGATGTGCTGCAAAATGATCTCACTAACCTTTGTTAAACAAGAACAATAAGACTTAACCAACAAATATTGTTACCCATTCATTTAAATCAGAATTTATCACTGTCAATAACATAAAAAACAAACAAAAAAAACATCAAAATCTGCTTTAAGACGTTCAGTTTTACATTAACTGACCATTACAGCTTGAACATAAGATATAATTGATTCACATAGGCTAACACATATGAATTAAAGTGCATAGTAATATATTTCTCTTGGATAATTTAAAGAGAATAGTAAACCGTCGAGTTTCGATCACTTTTCGTGACTAACTGCAAAAACAAGATAAACAATAATATTTTATTAATCCAAAACGATTAGTTTTTATTTACACAATCACAGAATTAATACTGTTGGATAAGTAAACGCCTGTACAATGATTTTTTTCAACATCCACGGTACTTTATAATGTTAAATCAGGAAAAAAACACGTTTTGCCAAGATAGTTAATGGATTCGTCTACAGAAACTTTCTTTAACGCAAAGTTAGCATACACACAAATTCGTTTCATGTTTCTTTAAAATAATTAAAATAGTTTTCAGTTACTACACACGTTACAATCTAACATTGTGTTAAAGGAAAATGAACTTTCAGGCTGTTTGTAACTGTTAGCGTTAGCATACATTAGCTCCAGTCGTGTTTCTTAAAGCAAGTTACATTTCGTATCAAACTGTTTTAAATTACTAAACGCTGTTACAACCAAACACCGTGGAAATGTTTTAAGCTCTAAATTCGCTAATTATACAGTACACAAGCAGTAAAAAGCTTACCTTTCTGACCGGGATCCACGTGAAGTCTTTAAAAAAACCAAACTTTTTCTTCTTGTGATCTTCGTGCCATGGTGGTTGACAAACAGCTTTTTGGAGCATTACCGCCACCGTCTGGATTGGAGTGTGGATCATGAGTTTAGTCACGCATGTGTTTATTATGAAACCAACTTCTGCTTTAAAACAAAAACAGTCAGCACAGGAGCGTGCTATCTCAAAATTAAGCGAATTTTACATAGTTTTTCTCTAGATGACATGTATAATCTATTTATAAATAATATTGTTTTGTTTGCGTCTAAACATTGCGACCATCCACACTAAATATTCTTTTTTTTTTTTTTTTGCTATCGTACCATGAATATTTTCTCAAATTATCATTAAACGTGGAGCTAACAGATTACTAGATAAAATAAGAACTTAATCGGTTGCCATCAGCCTTAATCGGTTGCCATATGGTTGACCGGAATCGGGCCAGTGCTTTACAGCCGCATCACAACCGCATGTGCGCGAGCGAGCTGCGGGCCGCACTCGGCCCGGATAACACTCGCCGATGCCGAGTCGGAGCCGGAGGCGCCGGAGGGCAGCCGAGCTCGGGCCGATTACTGCCTGCTATCTGGGATAAATGTTATTGTGGTATTTTAAAATGAAGTATTTATTTCAGTGTGTACACTTGCATATCATCTAGAAGGAGTAAATTATTTAATATTTCACAATGTTTGGCAGTTACACCATTTGACATTTTCAGTTGGATTCAGTCTTAATGTTTGTAAAAAATGGTGTAAATGTTATTTTTAATGACATAAAATCAACATGAATACAATCTGTACATTTTAAAATATCTAACGGATGCTTTTAAATCAACTTTGTAAAAGATTTTTAAACCTGTTTTGTTACTGACCCTAACAACGAGTTATTATTAAATATTAACATTCAGGTTCAACCTTTGGTCAATTGGGTTAAACAAATACATAATTGTATCTGATCCCGCCGCTCGGCCAAGCGGACTCTCAGATTATGAATATTAATTATCAACAATAACGAATTATTGTTAATCATTAATATTCTGCATTAACTTATTGTTAATTTGACCAAATAAATATACCCAGACCTCGCCGCTCATCCGAGCGGACTCCGTACGGATATATTTATTTAGAAAGGGAATACTTACTACTCCTTGTGAGGTAGCTTAATCATTCTTAAGTTTTGATTAACTTAAATAGCAGCCGGTAGCAAAAGATCTATCATTTCAGTGACCTTTTTCTGTGAGGCAAACAAAAACAATCCAATGCGATTATAATAAGGTTTATTGACTAATCTAATACATATCAAACAAACGTAAACTGAGTATAGGAATATATGGGCATAACATATAACAGACAAACGCATACTAATTCTAAATAGGCTATAAACGGATATATGGAACATATAATAAAACCGAAAGAGACATAAAAGTGAGGAAATGCAGAAATTAGGTACAGAATGACAAATTTCGCTCAGTTCAACCACATATAACGAGAACCACCAGTTGATCATAAACACCTTAAAAAGGGGCACAGCTTAAAACGCATATGAAAAATAAACTTGCATTTACTTTCTCTTGTGTCGTGCGAGCTTTGGTTGATGCGCGGGGGACGTCAGAGATTCAGTAGGAGTTTGTGTGTCCTGTTCAGCTTGGTCCAAGTTGAATGGTCCCACGAGGCGCGAGATTAAACTGAGTTCAAAAGTCGGAAAACAAAGAAACGGGGACAGAAGAAGGTCCTCTGCGGAGAAGTTTATCCGAGGGTTTTTTTCTGCTTCTGCCCAGATGTTGGGGGGCAGAATGAGTTATACCTGCGGGTCACGTGACGACCCGTTCAGCCTTCTCGACCAATGATTTTAGGACAAAGTTTTTAGCGCGAAACCTCTCTTTGTCTCTAGGCTGTTTGTATGCAAATTTTGGGTCCTCCTGCAGCCTAAGGACGGTTTTTAATTCAGGGCATAAAAAAATGCAGGCCATTCCTGTTATTATCATGCTCTATGCATCATGTGTTGTAAAATGTCCAGGGCATTCTATTGACACCAAACACTCTACAAGTACATCAACATTAAAAGTACATCAACATAGTTCCCATACCTTTACATCATTGATGCTTTTAAAAAGGCCTGAAAGTATAAATGTGTATAGTCTATATCAGGGATTGTACACATTACAAAAGTTAAATGTAATAAAACAAGAGATTTGGGTTCTTTTTTGAGGAATGTCTTGACTGTGAGCAGAACGTTGGCTAAAGAGGTTTTTTTTTCTTCTCTTATCTTATCTGTCATGTTTTTTTGAAGTCGGCAGAGAGTGGTTCTGTGAAGTCTCCCAGACTTGTTAACATGTCACCAGGGATTTCTAAGCCAGACTTTATGTCACCAAAAGTGATTTTATTGTCCTGGCGAACCCAGATCGTTTTCGTGGAATGTTAAATGGAATGTTTATCTCCAGAATGCAGGTTACAATATGTTACATGAATAATCTCCACACAGACTCCTACAGAACCATAATTTTTGAAACTTAAAATTAACAGCTTCATAAACAGACGTGTTTTTCCAAGCGTATAAACTGCTGTATAAAGTTAGCTAATCAGTTCATTCCATAGAAGAAAACAAATACCTCAGGGAAATCAATTGTAATAATCAGTCAAATCCAACGTAAGGAGTCAGGAGCGGATTATTACCAAATAAGTTTGAAGGCAGGATACTCATCGTTAAGTGTTGTAATCCTCAGGTAGAATGAGTGTCAACTATTAGATTGATTGTCAGATATGATTTTCTTTTTCACATAATCCATTGCCTCGGTCGCAATCTGAAACTGCTTTTCTTCTCCATTGAGTGAAATTCGAAACCTGGCCAAGAAAAGCTGTCCATTTCGCACGTCCTGTCACCACCAAAGAGCTCTCCTGACATCAGTAAAGGCTGCTCTTGCCCTTGCAACATTGGCGGTGTAATCCGGAAAGATGGTGATTTGATTACCGTTGTAAATGAGCCGTGTACGTTCTCTGGCTTTTCGTAAGATCTCCATGGCATCTCCATCGTAATTGTAACTTTGTGTTTATGGTACGAGGCTTGTCCCCTGGCCTCCTTGGAACAAGGCTACGATGTGAGCTGTCAATTTTGACATCTCTGTCCATTTGAAGCACTTCTTTTAGCAGTTTGGATACCGCTGTAGTTGAACTTGATCCCAGGAGCTCGGGGATTGCCGTAATGCAAATATTTCCCCTTCTCATGCACCCTTCCATATCTTCACATTTTTCTTTTAAGTCGCCGACATGTCTTGTGAGTTTAGTTACCGTTGCCTGGAGAGTGACCATCTCGTCTGACCAAGTGGAGAGTCCTCCCTCGACATCCCTAATGTTCTCTTTTATTTGGTCAATTTCAGAACGCACAGCGGTGGCATTATTCGTGATTTCGGTTCTCATAGCCTGTAGTTCAGATTTAAGAGCATCAAAATCTTCGGCCACTGCATTCTTCAACTCTTTTTACAGATGATATGTCCGCACTTAAGGAGCAGAGAATGTCCGCCTTTATCCTCTCAAAGTCAGCATTTGTATCTTCAGGCCGTCCAGAAGGAGATATGACAGGTCGGCCGGGCTCACCGGAACTACTCTGTTTAAAATTGTGTCATTTTTACACGTGTCAAAAAAATACATTTATATTTATGCTGCAGCGGAAATGTCTTAATGTATTTTTTTTGTATAACTGCAGTGCAAATGTCTAGTTACTTATATTTACATAGTTTTGTGTTTTCCTTGTTGAAAATTAGTTGGAGGTGGTATCACATTCGTTACATTTTTGCTAATTGAAACAAATGCATTTTGCATTGAGCATCTACAGGGGGTCTGACAGAAGTTGCCTGCCTGATTTTTGGTAGAAGGCGGAGAGGGTACATTTGATGAAGGTAACCCTCGCATAATTCTACACCATAAACGCTGCATATGTACATTAGTGCAGTTCAAGTATCTAAAGTTTTTTATGTTTGCATTAGTGCAGAGCAAATGTTCACTCAAATTGTTCTGTTATTTATGTTTACATGTTTACTATAATGCATTGAAAATGAATGTTTATTATATTGACAACTTTATATTGTTGCTGTCAACAACATAGAAATTATGTTTAGTTTGTGTTTATATATTTTTTTTACATGAATAAATTTAGCTTCATTATCTACTCTTTAATCTTTAGTTTAAGCTTTTACTGATGGGCAGAAGGCAAGCCATTGTGTAAATCAGGTTGATGCTTGCTGTAATAGAAAGAGATGATGACTGTCCAGCTTGTTGCTTCACCCGGCAGATGTATTAGTTAATATAAAATACAATTGCAACTTGTTACTACTTTTATCTGGGTTATATTCTTGTACATAATTTTTTAACTGTACCTTTAGAACCTTATATTACCACCAAAAGCAGCATCATAGCAGTCTCCTTTCAGACACTCCACCTCTTCACAGAGATTGTCAGCCAGATCTGGTGTATTAATCAACTATC